AGGCGGGGAGCCTGCCCCCACCTTTACTAAACGCTTGTTCTGAAAACACTGTTTTATTGGAGCGATGTTCCAGACGGTCTCGGCATCACTCTCTTTACAACAGAGCATACGTTTTGACAAGTACAGTCAGACAGCTAGTAGTGTTTTGCCTCACTTCCGTGCAGACCGCCTCCCTAGGTGCGAGCCCCAGGCAGCGAGCTCCCCGAAGAGCGCAACAGCAGCAACTCTAGCTGTGGGATTTCCTGAAGTAACACAGCATTTGCCTTGCACTTGTCGTGTTCCACCCTTGTCCTTTTAAAGGTCCTTCGCATACCGCCACATATTTCGTTAATATGTTTTTGCCTGCTGCTCGGAAACCCAGTGATGCACTCTGTGATCTGCAGCATGGGTCACTACTAGACGCTGGATTTGTCGTCTCGCACCTTTCTTGCTTCCCTTCTCCACTTCCCCTTTCTCTGCAGTGTTTCAGTCCCCAGTAGCACATTTCTCCACTGTACATCATCGCCAGTAAGTGCGTATCACTAAATACACCTGCAAAAAGATAATTTAGAACTCAAATACTTTATTCTTCTTTTGTTAAACAAGCATGTGACTTGTTCACTTCAAAATCTTTTTCAGTAACACAGCAAAAATTTTTCAAAAAGCCAGTATATGCCTCCTATTAAAGAGGCATACCAGAGAACAAGTTTCGACCATTAGAGCACCGATACGGCCGAGAACCTGAATCAAAGGCCTTGCTTGTTATTCCATCCATTTTGCCTTTCCACAACGTTAAAATCTTTAGTTTTAAGCTTGACATATAAATATTTGCTGAAAATTGTTTGTATATTTATATTTCTGTATTTCTTTATAATCCATTAAGTGTAGCTATGACTATGCATATTTACTTTAGCACACTTCTATGCCTCCCACACTTTAGGCCTCATGGAAGATGCTATTTCAGCATCAGCTTAACTCAGGTTAACCAGCAGCAGCTTTACTATTTAAATAGAAAGCCACATGGTAAGTGTCCGTGATCATTTCAAAAATAAAAATAAAAATAAAAAAAATCCTACCAAATAAACCTACGAAATCAGCTACTGCACTTGGCTTTGTATTGCGGAACAGAGTTGGAACAGCCTTTCTTGGTCCCTTCCAGGCGAAACTAAATGAGAAAGTGCTCCATCCCATGTATGCATCCGTTCCACAGGACCAGACCAGAGTAAGTTTTGGTAGCGTACAATACGGACCTCATCACCAGCTGTTTAACTTTAAAAATCCACTCCCACTGCATGACGCTAATTGCATTACACTGGCATGGCCTCAGATGCTCAGGTGAAACGCACTATAGTAATACAACGTACATAAAGCTACACTGAAGCGTGATAACCAAGTTTTGGTGACTCTAAAAAAGGTACTCTTTCTACCTGTGTGAAATCAGTAACTCATCATGCCTGTTTTCCCCTAGATCTAGACCAACATGAGAACACTTAGCACCCTCTACAGTCTTATTTATGCTTTTCAGATTTGTCAACTGAAAACTGGATAGTTTTAAAACATGCACGTTGTGCATGAAACACAAACAGCTTCAGTTGTTCATCTTCTCAGATGGACTTACAAACACAGAGAAAATGAACATTACCACCTCCTAAAATCTGTGAGTCACAAGAAAGGAGAGTTAGAAGGGCAGGAAAATACTACTGCTTGCTAATCTCTCACAATTATTTTTTGTTCTAAAAAGTTAGTTTTTTAGTACCAATGAAGTCCAACCCGATACAACAAAAATACACAATGAAGGGTTCTATAAAATGGGGCAGTTATTGGGGCATTTTGTAAATTTTTTTTTTTTACCTTCACTGAGTAATCTAGCAGTATCTTTATCCTGAAATGAGACATCTTCATCCAGTTGGAGAGGGCATCTAAAGCTAAGCATCTTCATCAAGTAATGGACTCCATCATTAAGGCACTGATTAAAATTTAAAAAAAAAAAAAAAAAAAGAGAGAGAGAGGGAGAGAGAAAAAAACCTACACAAATTCTGAGCCATTTAAAGACAGCCAGAAATGCTTCTAGATACGAAGTCTGCAAGCAGTTATTTAAAATAAAAAAAAAGAAAAAGCTGTTCTTTAAAAGAAAATGTCATACTTCAAAAGTGTATTTATGGACATTTACACACTCAGGAGATGACCTTTTTTTTTTTTAAAGCCTCTTTTACCTTTTCAAATAAGTCGATATTTTTCCTTAGCCAGTCACTCCTTTCTTTTACAGTGTGACAATACATGTAAAGCAGGGCTCCTTTTCTCCAGTAAAGACATTCGATTAACTCTGTGCCAAGGATGCTGGTGCACTGAAATAAATCCCAGTAAAACGTGCTAAGCCAAAAGTAACCATGTGAACTACACATACGCACACTGACACATGCAAACGGTGTTGTTTCAACCCCTTAACTTCAGAAGATATACTTAAAAGTGATGGTCACAGACACAAGCCTAATACTTTGGATTTAAACAGCAGAAATCATCTGGAATCTTGAAACGTTAGCAGGAAAAATTCTGAGCATCCCGTTAAGTTATCTGAAAAATTATTTATGGGCAATGATTTGGGAATCACTGCTTAAATACAAATAAGACTTGGAATTTTTTCAAAAGACCTCAAATTTTGCTCATCAGAAATGTAAGTGCCGCTATCCTGTTTTAGATTTTTGATTTTTAAATAATAGAATAATTAATTCTCTGACTGAATAATGTTAGTACTCACTTCTTCATTTACGTTGCATTCTTTCACTAGGTCTTCTGGTTCTGAAAGAATACAAATAAGTTCTTTAACTTTTCGTAAGGAATAATCTTCTGGAAAATCTTCATCCACAAGCTGGTTTTCCTCAAAATACGTAATATCTAGGACAGCCTATGAAAATAGGAAGATGCACGATGTAAAAAAAATAAAATAAGTAAAAATAAGTAACATAAGTAAAAAACTGCCAACAAAATAAGCAGCTGGTGGCATACATACAAACTTGTTATAGTTTACAAAATATTACAAGTTTAAAGATAATTTTTAACATTTAATTTTCAACAGTGTTACAAGCTACAACATTGTTAGACTGTTCACAATAAGCAAACTCAAAACCCTTTTTTATGCTCACAATACTTGTACAATTATTATCAACTCTCGGTTACTTTCTAGTCTAGAAAAAAATCGGGCCTATACTTTGGGAAAGTTCTGTAATCACTGCACACACTAACAAGTAAGTGTAGAGATATTTTTCAGTTATATCCTCTTTTCTACACCCTACCTGCTCCTATACCCTACACAGTCAATCTTCTAAAAGCGGTGCACCAAATGCTTTAAATATACTACCTGTGTATAAAGCTGCAAAAGCTTGGAAGGATATGTTTTTTCTTTCTCTTCTTTACAGAGGTCCTTCAGTCTCTCCAGAGTAGCAGAGCCCTTTACTAAGAAAGCATCTGAAGGAAGAATACAAGGCTTTCTTAGCACTGAAGAGCATCCAGCAACAGCCGTGCTTGCTCCCCCTTTTCATTTCATATGCTTTTATTCGTCCTTGTGATACCTACAATAGAGCTGAATAATAAAGTACTTAAACTGGCACTTCGCCCTGTTACGACGACTGCTCTCGTGACCAAATTCACGGCATTAACAGCTATGGTCTGATGCCTCAAAAAATCACTCCAAACACTACACGTGCAAAGAAATCATAAAGTAAAAACGCTGCTTGTTCTTATGCAGCTGTAAATGTTAGGCCTCAACCAGGCTGCTGCAGAGAAGAGTCTCAAGGCTCAGCCTCCGCAGGGAGACCCGCAGAGAGCACCTGAGGCGTTGCTCCGGGGACAAGGCTCT